CCACATGTTTGTATAGCATCAGTAAATAGGCTTCACCTTTAACAGATTTCTTATTTATTTGATTTTATATTTAGAGCTGGAGCTAGAGATAGTGGGAATCTGAATAAAGAAAACAAAATTTCACCTAAAGATACCACCTAATGTTTGACAAATATTTTTTGACTCTGACATCCATTAACTGTTGCTTTACTGTACTTGAAGAAATACAAAATGAAGGTGGACCAGAAGACTGGCCTTGTTGAAATGATTATGGATAAACTTGAGGACAAGGATGAAGGGACTTACACTTTCCAACTGCAGGATGGAAAAGCAACCAATCAATCCAGCCTTGTTCTCATTGGTGATGGTAAGATAATGTATATTGCACCGTAGGCTGGAAAAATTATACCAAAGCTACCTCAGTTGTCGTCTTCAGTTTTCACTATTTTCAATACCAATAGATATTCCAGAGGTTCTTCGTGTCACAGTGCTTGCCTGCCTCATATAGGACAGGGCATGTGTGTGAACTGATGTTTTTAAAGTGCTGGGAGGAAGGGGAATTGTTATAGAAATGTAAAATATCACAGCCTGTCATGGTTTACTTTTCTATGGATGGAATAAAAATTTCCCATGTAAAAAGCCCATTCAGGTGGGAACAAGTAGCTGCACCTCTTCGAGCTCAAGCAGCTTGCTGACTCTGTTGCTGCTCATTTGCCTTCCTACCAAGAGAGGAAAATAGCTGTACGATCAGGAGTTACGCTTCATCAGGCATGACACATTAAACTCCTGATGACTGCAAGCAGCTAGGAAATTTGGGTTAGCCGTAATCAGCTTCTGATAATTTGAAATGTTCAGTGAAAACCAGCCCCTATGGTAGGATTCTCATTGACCTCCAAGGGACACAGTTGCACCTAACTGTTATAGTGACATTCAGCACTGTAGAAATGGCACATGATGTTTAATCTTAATATTTCTTGCTGTCTTTAATTCCTAGTATTCAAGAAGCTGCAGGATGAAGCAGATTTCCAGAGAAAAGAATGGCACAGGAAACAAGGTGATAATGTGGATATTTTTAAGAATCACATATGTGTTAGTCTGTTAAGAGTTTGTTTATACTTATATCTGTTAATTTGAAATAGATGTATTTAGTTCTGTTATATAGTCACTTACCTTCTGAAGGGGAAATAGGAAAAAATAAAACCATATTAAAATATAACAGTATTCTTGTCAAGAAAAATAGATTTGCCTCTGGTTTTGTATCATGAATATCACTGATGTGACCTTTAAAAATATATCTGTCATTTTAAACAGGTCCTCATTTTGTGGATAAACTGGGATGGGAAGTTACCGATGACTGTAATGTGATGTTGAAATGTAAGGTAAGGGGCAAGGAAAACATTGAGTACAATGTTCAAAGCACTTTGACCTATGTCTACTTAGGCAGTGAGGGTGGGAAGGGACTAAAGATGTGCCCTTTGCTTGTGTACTGCCAACTGCACACTGGATAGTGACAGAGCCTCTGAAGGCTAATCATGCTGGGGCGATTGCTCATTGCAGTGTAACAAAATACCTTGGAAAATAGCTTGAACTTTTTTCTTCAGGTTTGTCAGCCACTGACCCAGAAAAAAGGCACCTGAATAGGAATTGACAGGTCTTTGTAAATCCTGGTACTTTCTCATTTTTTGCCTGGTTTATGTGTGCAGAAATCCCCTGGGCAGGATCCACTGGTTCCCTGGGCTCCTTGAAGCCATTGGCAGTTCTTTTCTCTCTGTTTTCATCCTGCTATTTTCCCTCTTGCATGTCTCATTTTAAAATGGAGGCCTGCAATAACTCACTGTGATGAAGCTGTAAAGCTTGCTGTTCTTTTATAAGAGACTTGAACAGGCTAAACCCTGCAACACTAACTTCCCCTGCTCAAATGAACAGAACGATTAAGATGTGGTTTTCATCCATCTTAGGTGGCTAATATTAAGAAGGAAACACACATTGTATGGTACAAAGATGACAGGGAGATAATGGTAGATGAAGAACATGACTTTAAAGACGGAGTGTGTACTCTGCTGATATCAGAGGTGAGTGATTGTTCTTGGTAGCCCTCAGCTGAAGTCAGTGTTATGAATTCAGATGAATGATATGATCTAATCTGATATTTCAGCAGAACAATCAAAAAAGGAAGTGGGTTTTAAAAATGGAAAAACTCACGAGGCGTCTGTGTTTCAGCTAAAGCAAATATCTATCTATAACTGCTCGTTCAGATTTTCAGGAAATGATGACAGAAGAGATAATAAGCTTGTCACTTCCTTTGCATGTCAGTTTATCAACAGAATGATATCATATTTAAGTTGCAAATGGCAATTGGAAAGCACTTGTCACTCGGAGTCACCAGAGAGGTCTGGTCCATACCCAGCCTTGCTGCAGCCTGGGGGTGTGACCTGCCTTCACTACTTCATCTCTTTGCTCTCAGTTCTTTGGCTGAGGAGGGAAGAAGAGCCTGGGCCCCCTGGGGCTGGGGGCTCCCCCAGGGCTGCAGGCCAGGACACCCCGGCCAGGGTCCATCCCACCACCCCAGCCAGGAGCAGGGCAGCCAGGGTGCACTGGGGAAGCCCCAGCTGCTGCCATTGGGCACTTCCCTGGAGATGGGGACTCAGCTGGGTTCAGGAGTAAAATCTAAGTATTTCTACCAAAACTTGAGAAATTTTCTACAGAAATTTTTCTACAAACTGTTTTGAAAACTGGGTTTACTGTTACAATATTGCAGTTTTCTAAGAAAGATGCTGGCACATATGAAGTCATACTGAAGGACGACAGAGGAAAGGACTCCAGTGAGCTGAAGCTTAAGGACACAGGTCAGAGCCACTTTCTGCCTGCTGTCAGCTACGCCAGCCTGGCTGCTGGCCTGCGAGCAGGTTCGGGGTAATAGAGGCGACTGCATGTGTCACCTTCCTGTGTCGTTGTTCCTCCTGTATACAAGATCATCTCATTAGAAAAACAGATTTTTCAGTTCAAATAATGTTTTAATAGAGCTTATTGCATCTGGTTTCAGTATAATTTTGGAAGAATACCATGACTAACGCTAGGCAAAATGATAACAAGTTTCCTCAGGGGGACATCAGTAGTGTAAGTTGACAAGTATAGAAACAAATTATTGAAGCAGATAATTTTAAAAGGTTTCACATTTTTATTATATTTTGCCATTCATTTATTTAGGGGCCTGTCCACTCATTGTGATTGCTGTATTTTAAAAAATTCACTTATGTTTTCAAGCAAGTGGAGAAAAACCCTGTCCATTAGAATGTATACAGATGGGTTAGCATTCCAACTAAATAGTATCATGTAAAAAAAAAAAAATGAAAAAAGATAATACAGTTTTGTTCAGCTGCAGCAATATTCATCAAGGCTAAAGTTAAAGAAGTCTGGAAATTGTGGAATAACAAGCTATATTTCTGCATTACTTAGATTTCTAATATGCTTTATAAGGTAGGCCCCATTTGTTTTTCAAACCTACTGGGGAGAATATTTCAGAGTTAGTACTTGTCCTGTTATTGACTGTGCTTGAGCTGCAAACACAGAGTCTTAGTCTCTGGATTTTATTTCCACAGCTTTTGCAGATCTAATGAATGAAGTATGCAGAAGGATTGGTAAGCACTTAATTCCCTTTTCAAATGAATGACTCATTGTGACATTCAATGAATGGCTGCATGGCTGCCTAAAACCATGTGCTATTCTTTCAGCTTTATCTGCGACAGACCTGAAAATCCAGAGCACAGCTGAGGGTATCAGACTGTACTCCTATGTTACTTATTATGTGGAAGATCTGAGAGTAGGCTGGGTGCACAAGTAAGTATGCAAAAGCTTTGCAAAAGTCAGTCCAATTTTGTTTTTATAGACTCAGAAATTACCTATATATATGAGAGTGATGAGGCTCAGCTTTCTTATCATCTCTCCTGAGTCCTTCTCTCACATGAGTTGGTTTCATTGAATTGCATCCACGTGAAACCAGTACGAGAGTCAGGTGTTGGTGGTGCAGGGCCCTCCTACCGTTTCCCTCATGAAATAGAGAGTCCCACGCCAGGGCCATGCTGCTTCAGAGCACTTCCCACCTCCCAGATGGGAGCTTCATCTTTCCCTGAATCAGTTTTAGGGAGTGATGCAAACATAACCTAAGAGACCAACAAGCTTTAAGAGGTGCCAGCACCATGGCTTCAGAGATACCTAGCCTGGAGTTCTGCTTGTCTAGAAGCTGCAATTCATGGGAACTGGGACAAACAGGCACATCCTCTTAATCCATGGGTTCATGTTTATGAGGCAAAACAAGTTCCAGTATATGCCTGGGACACTAAAATCCAGAGAATCCCTCATTTGAGAGCTACAAACCTAATGAAGACAGACAGAAGAACTGAGATTTTAAAAATAAATCGAATGCCCAGCTATCCATAAAAATAATGGGAGTTGTATATTCAGATCCACGAGACAGCTTTGAATTCTCAGCCAGCGCAAACAGCATGCACTGGAAAACCCAGGGAAGTAAACATCTGGAATTTGATTTGATGCTAATAACATATTTGAATCGCTTCAAATCTATTATTACTGTTCTTGCTGCTTCACTTCCTGTGGACATGGTAGTAGTTAGTCTTTAGGATGGAATCTGAATTACTGATCTCTCAGTAAAACTCATGTAAATGAGGCCCAGTATACCCAGGATGTGCTGTAGCAGTCTGGCTGTAATGAATTACCCTGATGCTAACAAGCAACACTGTCAGAGAAATGAAAGCAGTTTGAGGTTTTTCTGTTTCTTGGCACCTATTTTGACCTGGTATTGCCAGGAATCCTAAGCATTTCAGAACTGGAAATTGATATGAAGTGTTCTGGATTTCTCTTTCTCTCTTAATTTTCTCCCTCTCTCTTTTATCTATTTAATTTTTAGAAACTAATTTAATCTTGAAGCACAGCAAATTAGTCTAATAAAAATGTTCTTTGACCTTCTAGTACATTCAAAGTTACCAGTTTAAAGATAAAAAGAAAATTAGTAGCTTATTTGACTTATATTTTTTGCCTCATCCAGGGCAATTAACTGCTTAGCTAGGAAAATGAGAAATAGATATTTTTTGTGGAAGAAGATATACTTATGTCAAAGTGTGTTTAAACTCCAAAGCATAGCAGAGGATCAGAAAACATTCCAACTGGGCAAACACTATTTGACAGAAGTGTGAGTTTTTTGTAGGTACAGCCCTATATAGTTTTGTTTTGCTCAAGCAGAAATAAACCTATGCTGAAAAGAGAACATGAACCTTCAAGGATGCATGGATTATCCTCCAGAGATCTGGGTTTTAAATTTGTATAACTCTTCTATGGCTCAGGTCATGGACTAAGACACATAACCTTTCTGCAAGCTCTGAGGAAAGCTAGACCTTGAACCAGGAAAGACTGTCATGCCAATTCTGACCCATTGGCCCACAGCTTTAGCAAGAACTTGACTTCAGAAGTTTCAAAATATGCTGGTATATCATAGTACCTTGGAAATAATTGAGTGACTGCAGATGTACTCAGTGACTCAACATGAGTAAATGCCATTTATATTCCAGTAAAACAAAAGGGTAACATTGTTGTGTATTTTTCAGTGATACACAGATTAGGTTCACAGACCGAGTGAAGACTGGTGTCACTGGGGAGCAGATCTGGTTGCAGATCAATGAGCCGACTCCACAGGACAAAGGCAAATACACAATGGAACTCTTTGATGGTAAAACAGAACACAAAAAGACAGTGGATCTTTCTGGACAAGGTAGGCCATTCCCTCTGTGATCATCACCTGCATCACCTGCACAAGGCAGGAGCATCTATTTCAAGACCTTGCTACAGATCTGCTACTTTTTGGGAGTAGTACTTTCTGCTACACTGTAGGGTCTGTGTGTGTACCCCGCAGCCTGGCAGGGTTTGTGGGGACAGTGCAATTTGTTTTCCTCAACCTGTGCTCTTGGGTCATAAATTATGAACAGCTTTTTCATATTCCAGATACCTGCTTACTGTTTGCCTACTGGGCTGAGACGTCAGCCCAGTTTTTGAGCTATCTTACAAAACCCCTCGTGTTGCTGTCATTGATTGGGAGTTTTAAATACAAGTTGTAGCACTGAACGCCTTCTGTATCTCTCCCTTCCAAGTAATATTTAGAGGAGGAAGTGAGGCACAAGTTTGTTCTGTTACTTTCCTACTGCATTTCTTTGATGGATATAATAGGGCTCCTTATTCTTCTGAGATGTCAAGACCTTTCATCAGCACAATGAATGAATGCTAGGGGAACATCTACAATTATTCACATTGGCTGTTGGAAGCTTTTACTCTGAGAGACCGCTTAGATCCTAGGGAACAAATTAACTCCATCCAAATTGCCAAGTTTCTATCCTCTGCCATTCCCATCCCTAAAGTTCCCATCCCTAAAGCGTCACTTTAGGTCTGCAAGATCTGTGTAAGGGCAATAACCTTATAATCATCTCCATGCTGCTCCTTCTGTGCTCTATCACACTTTCTGAGAAAACAGATTTCTTCTTCACTGTCAAAGCAGAGAGGTTGACCTCCCACATGATGGCAGCTTAGCCTGAAGGAGACAGCAGTTTGATACCTGGTTTGTTCATGGCCATCAGTGTGATGCTTCAGAGCAGATGTGAAAAGTACTCGGAAAAAACAGATCTCATATTCCATAAGCCAGTGGTCTCTGAAGTGGGGTGCATGCAAGATGATCTGCTGGGGTGCAGGAAGAAAATATGAGAACTTCAGTAGTACATCTGTATAATTTATAAATAAATAAATATACATATATTGGGTGTGCATGCTAAAAAATTCTTTACCTATAGGAGCGCACAAGCAAAGAAGTTTGTCATAAGTTATCCATTTAGGTGGTGTATTTTGGGTTTCTTCCTCTGTTTTGTGAGATAATTTCAGCGTATTGCTCTCCCACTATCTCTTTGTCTTAAAGCTTGACTTTTAGAAAAAAAAAAGAGTGTGTTTGTGCATTCATATGTATATACAACAGCTGTCATATACAAGATGGTCTTTATTAGTCGATCCATTCAGCATTTTAGGGCTTATACAATATGCATGCATCCATACATTAATATTTCTTTAATGATGTCTACATTTTTAATTTAGTTCTACGTTCTAAATTTAAACTTGTGATAATTTATCTCTGAACTTACCTTTAAAATCAACTTTTCTCTTTACAAAGCATTTGATGAAGCCTTTGCTGAGTTCCAGAGATTAAAGTAAGTATTATGCCATCTTAATACAGTAATGGCAGATATAAAATAATAAGAGTATTTGTTTATTTTGTGCTGGAGCTAAATATATCCTGTGAAACAAACCCTAGTCCTACAGAAGTCTGTAGGAGCTTTGCATGTGACTTCTTTGGTGCAATTCTTATATAACCGTTAGGTAACAAAGAAAAAGCAGCATAGCCAAATGATGAGAGATGTTTTTCTTAACAGATTAAAGACAATTAAAAATATAAGCTATTTTTCAATCACTTTAAGTAAACTTTAACTGAAATTGAACTTTCTTTTTGTTTCTTTCAACTCCAGGCAAGCAGCGATTGCAGAGAAAAGTAAGTGGGCCTTCTTTGACAATGGTTGCAATAAACTGTTTACAAAGGTTTTCTTTCTCTCCAGGAAGGTTGCGTGTTGAGAGACAGAGGGCATGTATACGTGTGTATGTGCATGTGCTTATCCTAAGATGAATTTGTCCTTGCACCAAGGGGAAGCAAGGAGAGTGAACTTTTAGTGATTTAACTTTGGTGCACATTGCAGCTAATGCCACTATAGTTACGGGTTATGTTGACCTTTCCAGTCTAAGCTCCTGTTCTCACTGTCAGTTAGCCTCCTCTAAAAATTATCTTTATTGCTGAGAACTCTCATGCATATTCTCTGCACAAAAGTCACTTTGTTTTCAAAGATGGAGGAAATAATTTGGCTAATTTCGAACTATCTAAAATGTCAAATGGCACTGCACTACATACAGAGATGAGTAAGAAAGCAACAGTAGCTTTTGCATTGCTTAAAGACCAATCCCTGAATCGCCTGATACATTTGTGTGTGTGTCAACTCCAACATAGCAACTAAAACAAAAGTATGTCATAATTATTTAAGGAATAAATCATTAGAATTCAACTTGAATTATTAAGCTCAATATTTTCTCTATTTACAGAAAAATGCTTGGAAAAAAATGTAACACTTCAAAAAGTTCTCCCGCTGAAGATTACTTTCAGACCTGTATAAAAATGAGGGCAGAAGTGGCATTTGAGAAGTTATTGGAGAAAAATGTGTAGAGCAGTCTGAGCTAACTCCTCCTGGATGTATAAGCCAAATAGAGCAGAGTCTGGAAATGTACAGTAATCTCATGCTGAGATGTCATGAAGGGATTGGTAATAGCCCTGTCCTGGGCATTTAATTTCTAACCCTGGACCATTCATAAGGGGCTGGCATGTTAATTGACATAACACAGCCCCATTCCTGGTCTCATAAGGTTGTTATCTCTGTGCCCCAGAGTACATCTTTTACAGAATACATTAGAGAAGAACATTTTGTAGAATCATTTCCTTCCTCTGCCAGGCTCCACTAAGACTTATAACAAACAAAATCCATACTCCAGAATAAGTGCACCAAAGCCTGCATGTGATCAGCTTATTTGAATTTATGTAAGACTCCTATAGGACTTTGAATTTAAAACTAGATCAAATATCAATCTCATTTATACCCAGATATGTACAAAGCGGTGGAATTTCAGTGCTGTCACTGAGACTGCCTTTGTATTTAGACCAAAACCTAATCTCCGCCACTTCATCAGTTGTCATTCATTTCCTTTTGGAAACACAACATTTTTAGTTTATGACACTAAAAATTTAGAGCACCACATCTCAAAAATTCAGGGTTTTTTTGTGCATGAGGAAGTAATACTGAATTGATAGCAAAATCTGCAGGACACAGCACATGTACTTTCATTCCTCTCTGTAAGTGATTGACACCAGCTATTAACACACCTTTTACTCTGAATTAAACATTTTTTAAAGTCCAAATGGTGTGCTAAGAATGACGAATAGTTCTCTGCTAGTACAGATATCAGAGACAGGTTGTACATAAATAAGATAAAAGGAAAGAACTAGAGGGGAAACAGAATCTGGGACACAGTTGATTTTGAGACACTAAAGAAAATTATGCTCTTTTTTTTTTTCTTTTTTTTTTTTTTTTCCAGATCGTGCACGGGTACTTGGAGGTTTGCCCGATGTTGTTACCATCCAGGAGGGCAAGGTACAGTAAATTAACTGAAGTTTTACCCAACAGCTTGAATGCCTTTCAATGATGGGAAAATATTCCCCTTTTTTCTTTTTTTTTTTCTTTTTTTTTTTTTTAAATATACCATCTTTAAAATCTGCTACATTATTTATTCATCCCCTGCCTTCTGTACATAATTCAACGGTCTTGCACAGATGGGTTTCTGTATTCAGGGCAGTGTCTTTTCTTAAGCATTAGATAGAAGTGAGATGACAATGTGAGCTGAGACTAAAACTCCTTATATAATCAGCTCTTTAAAAATTCATGGATAGGTTTCACAGTTATGGTTTTTTTTTGTAACAGGGTATCAGGGAAGTTGAATTCCCTTTTGACTAGATTCCTAGTCATTCTATGTCTTTTGCAGTTAACTTCCTTGCAAAATGGCAAGACAGTCACCTCTGTTAAGGCTGGCTTTTAAATGGTGTAAAAGAAGTAAACTGTAACAACTCAATTCTCGTCCAGACAGAAGGAGAAAGTTTTCTCTATTTCATCAGGGTGAATGAGAAGGAAGTAAAAAGAAGTCATTAGTGTTACTTTGGATTATATTAGGAGAGTTTAGCTGAAAGATTATTGTAAGGCACTCCCAGAGGAACATGGCTACATCGATGCTTGAGCACAGAACAGATGACCCAGAAAGTCAGTTCTCAATCTTGCAGCCTTTTCCCAGCACACTGCTTCTACAAGTTGCTGCTTAATAGTACGGAGACCAAGAAATGCCTGCTCTTCACTTCCCGCTGCTCTGCCACTAGCCAGTTCCTCTTTATAGTGTGTGCAAACACTGAAATAGGGCATGTGAATGTAACCTGTAACATGACAACGACAATAAGGCACCTTCCTGATATTTCTGGCTTTATCCGGCAGTAGGTCAGCTGGGTTAAAAGTATTTGATCATAAGATGAGTAGAAGTGTTAAGAACCTAAAATCTTGGTCTGAATCACTTCACAATGCAAGATATAACATAGACAACATGTAGTGGACTGCAGTACTTCTAGAAAAACTAAGTATCTTGGCATTACAAAATGCAATAACATTTGATTAAACCTTTAATTAAAGGATTTAACAGTTTGGGAAATGCTGTAGAAGTAAGAATCATTCATATGAGCATTGTAACTGTAGGTAGAAGACACAAAGAAAGGGAATCAGTTTGCAGAGTCTCAGCTAACAATGCTTGTGCTTGGAGATGAGATTTTCATACTGCTTTGGCAGGGGATAAATTTGGGTGGTTATTATCAGTTTTGAGCTTTCTGTCAAAAGAGAGTTGATATGAAGTTGAGTATGAACTCATGAAAGCAAAATGTGTAGAGTTTATAAAAAAGGAGTTTTTAAAAATGAGTTCCAAAATCTTACAGACACACATTGTCCTTGACAGCAAGGACATTTGTAATTTTTGAATAAGTGACTGAAAAACTCCCAGAACTTGAGACAAATATCCTTGACCTTATGTTTCTGGATTCAGTAGATGACCATTTTGAGAAACAGAGTAGGACAGAGAGCGATTGGGGAAAACAGTGCTTGTTTGAGTGGCGTTGGCTCATCTGTCTATTGTTTGCATATATGCTAGAGAGAGGGAAATGCAGTTCTCTGTTGTGTAATTCATGCAAATTGCACAATTGTCAAGGATCTTGAAAACCAAAACAAGGTAGCAGAGGACTGGCAATTCCAAGTTTTGATTTTGAATACAAGTGCAGGCATAACTAGAGAGTTATATGAACAGATTGGCATCCCTAGATTGAATTTCCAAGCATATGCATGTCTTAAACGTAACACCATGACTGTGATGCTATTTATTAGCTTTTAACATGTGACCTGAAGGATATGTGCGAGAACGAATGAACCAGTGTTTACCCAGTGCTAATCAAACAACATTCCAGATGGCCTAAGAGGCTTCCACTGATAGACAGAAATGCTCTTCAGCAGTGGGATATAATTGGAAAAGGCTAAGTGTCAGTTCATATTAGGGAGGAATTTGACCTGACAGAGAATACTAGCATAAGTTTTGTGTACAGCCAGTTAAATTAATGTAAGTGGCTGTTTTAATGAAGGCCTGTAAGTGAGCAAGGACGTTTAGTTTTAAAAGGAGAGGCTCAGCATTCTGACAGACACTTTCTGACCTAGAAGCAACATCTTGCATCCTTCTGCCCAACAACTTCCCATTCTACCCTTCTGCCAGGGCTAGGTGTCCTCACAGCTAGTCTGGAAGAAGGGAGCTTCCATGCTGCTTCAGTTCAGTCACTGTCATCTTTGCCCACACCACTTCTGAATCTGGGTTTGTGCTAATATGCAAGAGGAACAGCAGCACGTGAAATGCAATTACGTATTTCCCTCTGCCACATGTAGTACCCTACTCATGATAATCTGCAGTGAAAGACTGAAAAAGTAATGGGGCGCACATAGGGCCTGAACTTGCAGCCGCTGATTGCTTCAAATGCACATGCCTCAATGCTCCAGGTCCAGAACTGGTACAGGAATTTTTGTGTGCAGATCTGAAATACTAAGATTTAGTTCAAAGAGGTTTACTCACCCAAGGTTTTTCAGATTAGATTTCCTGATAGATTTAATTCACTCACCACAATATCTAAACAGGTTTCCAGTTCTTGCCCCCCTGCCCAAACAATCATCAGAGCCAGACAACTACTCAAAAAGGGGGATATCTTGAAGGGGAAAAGTGCCTCTTCTCTTCAGGAGAACAGAGCACCTTTTTTACCTGGATAAGGATTTCAGTCTGAATACAGCATTATAGTCAGGGGTTTCTGTGAGTAATGAGGATATACATGAGAAAGGACAATCTTCTGTCCAAAGAACAGAAAATCTGAAACAGATATGTGCAGTCACAGTGGGTGATCCCTTCTCCCTGGCCAAGGCTTTGTAATTACCTTCCAGAAAACCAAAGATCTCAACATCTACATAGTGAATGATATGATACATCTCTGCACATTAGTGGCTGGAAAATAAATAAGAGTCGGGAAGATAAAAAGGAGCATGGATGTCAAAACAGGAACTAGTGATGCAAGGTTAAGCAAAATCCAGCTATTTTAAGGAATTATTTAGAAGAAAAAGAATCATCACTGCTGCTTGAATCTTTTTGAATTAAAAAGTACTGACACCACTTCAAACACCTGAAGTTTGAATTATGCCACTAATAGAGCTGTCTGGACATGGCCATCAGCTCATTAGCATCTTGGAGTGGCAGCTGGGGCCACTCAGTGGTGATCTCTTGCTTGCTAGAGTGTTAGAAGACAATAAAGAAATATCGAGGACTTGAAGGGACCCATATGCAATGCCTGGCTGAGGCTGAGGCCATGTTTGTATTGAGAACAATAAGGAAGAAAAGGAAATGTAAAACCTCTTGGTTTCCCCCCATTTTTCAAAAAGATAGACTGATACAGCAATCAAAACCACATTCACCTTCACACCAGTGGGCTACAGGAGAAGGCAGTCAACAGCCCCATGCGGTCACAAGCTGCAGGTGCTGCAGGAAATCAGATAGAGGCCATTTCCACCAGCCCATAACCACCTCTCACTTGGAATCTGTCCTTCCTTCGGTATCAAGAATTATGTGTTGTTGATGGAAGAGAGACTTCCTCCTCCCTTTTGTTGTCATTTTGGTCCTTAGGGGATGTGGTATTTATTAGGTTTTTATTTTGCTGTCAGAGGTACAAAAATCTTTCATTTGTACAGAAGTATCAATTTTTTCTATCTGCTCATTTCAACAGCCTTCTGAGTGTCAGTCTTCTGTCCCATCTTCCACCATCACACTACCAGATAAGAGGCAGAGAGGTGAAGGGAAGGTAGCCTGTTAAATAGATTTCTCATGGTCGATTTTTATCATGACAGCTTAGAGGGCCAACAATCTGAGTGCTCTTCAGTGGTCTCTATTTTTGACACATTTTTATCCAGAGCTTCTAAAAAAAATGTAATAGAAACTTGATTCCAGTCAAGTGGAAGCTTGTCCATTCCTTATATATCACTTAGTCCATTCATAATGAACCATTGAAGACCATTTTCTCTGCAGTAAAAATTCTTGAATTTTAATTTAAAAAAAAATCTACTTTGCATAACTTTTTAAGTTCAGATCAATATACTATTTAATACTTAGATATAAAGGGATTCCTTCATAAATAAAGGTCTAGAGAAAGTTTCATATGAACATTCTTAATGTTTGACTCTGTGTGATGTTAATTTTTGCAAACTCTTTTGAGACAATTCCCATGGCTTGTGACCAGACAAGGGGATCATTTATGTGTGTTGGTATCTCCCAAACATGAATTTCTCTGCTGACAACAAAAAAAGGAGGCCTGAGCATTGTGTGCAGAATAGACTTGCCAGCCTACAGAAAGTATCCAACTGCAAGTGATCTCTCCAACAACTGACTCTCTGACAATGAAGATACTTCCTTCAGTTTGATGGGACTGAATTCAGTCCTTAGGAACCTTACTAACATCAAAGGGAAACACTCATACGAACAACAAAGAAAGGGGAAAGCCTGTATTGATTTCAATTAAAAACAATTTTATGGAAGTGCAAAAAACAATTCAAGTCTGTTGGAAGAGCTGTCGGGGTATAGTTTAAAAAGATCCTAAATTAAACCAAATATTCCAGGGACACTTTGTTCTTAGTTATTTTAAAAGGCAGGCACGCTTTCTTTACTTCTGTGGCAAATATATAGTGAGCTTAATGTGAACAAATCCATCTGACAGTTCCTCAAATTCTCATTTCAGGTCTTACACACAAATGCAGATAATATCTAATTTTATATTAAACAATATGCATGGAGAAAGCTCCACTAAAGATTAAGAGAGTAGAGAAGAAGGTGCATAAATTATTGAAAGGTTTTAATGGAGTTTTTTAATTAACTGAGTTCCTTCTCTTCCTTTATGATACAGAAGACTCTGACAAAAAATATTGATCATTGATGATGAAATGCATCCATTTACTAAGAGCAGGGAGCTAAATAGGGGGTTGGAACATTTGGAGAGTCAGGCATCAAAACACATAGCAAATATTTACTGACTCTTACTTATAACCCTTTTGTACTTTTTCTACAGGCACTTAATCTTTCTTGCACTGTCTGGGGAGATCCTACCCCAGAGGTCTCATGGCTGAAGAATGAAAAAGCATTTGTATCAGATGCTAATTGCATTCTGAAATTTGAATCTGGAAAAAAAGTCAGCTTTTCCATTTCTACTGTGTCCACACTCGACTCTGGGAAATACAGCATTGTGGTGAAGAACAAGTACGGCACAGAGACCAGCGATGTCACTGTAAGTGTGTTCATACCTGAGGAAGAGAGACACTCTGAGCAAGAGAAAAAGACAGAAGATAAGAAAACGAAAGCGTGAATTTAAGACTAGGAAACAGAAGTATGGGAGAGATTTTGGATGATAGGCTGACATAATCTGTGTGTGTAAATGGCTTTCTGCTTTAGCAGGCAGCCTTGGATTTTTCCACTCACTTCACTTTTGCTTCTAATACACTTAATTGTGCCAGGGAGAACAGGGCCTTTCCTAAATATTCTCTTACTGCTAACTTCACACAACCTAGTTGTAGCATGCTCAGCCAGGCCAAATGCATGCTGGCTGCAAACACAGGTCCACCATTTCAGCCTCTTCCTGGAGCATTTGACCACGCAAAAAAAATGGAAAGGGTGAAGAATTGTTTCAGTGGAGGCAACTAGTGAGGTAGATGGAAAGATAGAAAATGATCGAGGCATTTTTGAGCAGCAGTTTAGATTTCTTCCAAGTTTGGTAAAGTAGCATAGATGGAATGTGTTCGAGAATTTAATCATAGAGAAATGAGTGCTGATTTTGTCTACATTAAGGCCCCTTTGTATTGCTGTGTTAATTTAGAGGGGCCTTAATATGGGTGTCATTTACATCCATAAATATTGTTTAATCTGCCCAATTGGGGTAAAAGTACTGTAACATAAATGAAAATTAGGCTTAGGAGCCCAGAATACTAATGTGTGTGTGTGTCTGCAAAAATGTACGAACTCTCCTCTGTGTTCACAAATAAACTGCATTCACTTCTTTCCTTCCATCACAAGCTTGTTTCACTGTGTCTTGTTTTACTAGTCATGGCTCTGGTAGTTGTGCACAGTATCTTAGTGTCTTAATGCTTTCACCACTGTAATTACCTCTAGCTTCCCTTCAGATCCCTGTTAATCTTCACTTTACTGTTCACGGGAAAACCCACAATGGCATGTCTTCACACCTTTCTGTCCAGACCTTCACTACTTCACTTCTCAACTCAACAAGGTATTTTTGCAAATTCAGGCACAGGAGTGGTCTCATGTGATTCAATGGATCTGCTCATGAATTTTGATTTAAGGGTGTTAGGTAAGTATTTTGTTAGACTGAGACCTCAGTTAATTTCATCCAAACCTAACAGTCGAGATCAGAAATAATATATTTTGTCAAGATCTTTTAAAGCTACAAAAAGAATCTTCACTAGAACATAGAAAAAAAATGGTTTTTCCCAGATAAAAATGTTTCAGACAAAAAACATTTGTCCAGATCTTTGAACACACTTACATAGATTAAAAACTCCATGTCAGCTATTTTACAACAATGCCACTGATTATTTTTAGCTGAGGAAGAGCAACAGAATGGACATATATGTCCATCCTGCTGGACACATATGACATATACATGTGATACAATCTGTATCATATGTAGATATATATGATCAGAAGCAGTAATCAGCCCAATTGCTAATTAGGAGAGCAATATGCCATATTAATAATGGTTTTCATTACTAGTCTCACAACAGCACAATTCTTCACATCAAAATCTAAAGAACTAACGTATGTATTTTCAGCATAAGCATGATCTGTGTGCACCTTTCGCATACTTTCTCTTACCATTTTTAGCTACTGTGACTGCAGAAATATTGCTGTTTCCCGGGCACTCATTTTGCTGCAGTATTGGCCATTCTGTGAGGATGCCATTAATAAGTGCTGTACAGTCAACATTCACTTAAACCCTTGCCATCTGAGGTTTACTGTCAGCTAACATTAAAGACAAAGTGGAAACATGAGGGAATTCTTAATGGCTCAGGTAAAAATAGATTCAACAGTTATCAATGGTGAAAGTGGTGATTTTTGCAAATTTTAATTTTTTATCAGTTTCTATAAAGGGCTAATGATTATTACCTTGATCATAAAAAAAAATAAATCCAGATTTAGAGCAGATTTATGACCTAACAATACATGTTAACATATGCTTAACTTTAGGTATGAATAGTACCACCAGTTTCAAGGGACACGTTACGTTTATCTGGTATAAATCTTTTTTCTTCCAGAACAGATTTCACATCACAGGGATTTTTAACATGAAGTTACGTAAAACTAATGTGTTTTCACATAAACAGTGTATGTGTTCACATAGCCTTATCTCCTAAGATAGTTAAAACTCAAGTATCAAATTTGATGAATCATTGCAATATTAAAATGTGTAATTATGTACATTAATGAATCAGTATCTGTTATAAAAAAAGTTCAGACTATTTAGTCACAACAGCTGTGTATCAGACAAAGTAAAACAGCACAATTTTTAAATTTCAAAATATAATCATTAGAATATCTGCAATTTGAGATACAGCAACCTTTCTGAGTTTAAAAACTAATATCAAATTATTTTATCACTTTGCTTAGTATGACATGAAGTCAATTCAAGGATGATGAGCAGGTCAATTAACCTTGGTCCCAGGACATACACCTTAAAAGCAACAGTGTCACATCTCTCTTCTATCCTCTAGAGTGCAAATAAGAATATGACTTCATCTTCGCAATACCTGATAACTGATGTTTATTACTTAGAATTAGTCTATTTTTAATAACAATTGCATTTTGGCAGCAGTTTATTTATACTACTTTAGCTTCAAAAATATGTCCTCCTGCCTCCCTCCATTTGGCAGAACTGTGAGGGAACTGAGGGGAGACCTAATTAATGTTTACAAATACGTAAAGGGCAAATGTCATGAGGATGGAGCCAGGCTCTTCTCAGTGATGCCCAAGGATAGGACAAGGGGCACTGGGTGTGAGCTGGAACACGGGAGGTTCCGCTTAAACTTGAGAAAAAACTTCTTTACAGTGAGGGTGACAGAGCCCTGGAACAGGCTGCCCAGGGAGGTTGTGGAGTCTCCTTCTCTGGAGACATTCAAGACCCGCCTGGACACCTTCCTGTGTGATCTCATTTAGGTTCCTGCTCCCGCAGGGGGATTGGACTAGATGATCTTTTGAGGTCCCTTCCAATCCCCAACATTCTGTGATTCTGTGGGCCATCTCACAGATAAAAGGCTGGATTCCACTTCTCTCTGCTTCAGAAGATGTGTAGCTGCTTGTGATGTATCTACATTTCTCGCTTGTGCATTTTTGTTCTTGCTTTGCTTCAGGTGATTGTGATTTCTGTGTCAGGACAGACTGACACAGTCCAAGGACACGATCAAAATAATATAAATGTATCTAAAAAAAGAAAAACAATGACAGCAAACAAAAGGAAGGAAGGGGAAAAGAAAGGTAAGAGCACTTTCATCTTTATGGTCTTCTACTCCAATGAAAAAATTGTTAAGCATTATGCAGTTAATAGTTTGTGCCAATCAATATTTTTCAGGTCCCAAACAATCAAGTTTAGAGTATGTATGCTCTTAATCAACAAAAAATACAACTTATGAATTGGCAGGATGAACCTCAGTGAAAGAGTTTTAAATCAGCACTTTTAAATCACCATTCCACTGGGCTTCGAGTTCTCACCTTGGCTTGCCTGTCTGATGAAAGATTTTTAAGCCATAATAATACTCCCAAATTTCTGAGTGCAGAAGGCAGATCTCCTAAGCCTGTATACATGCACAGATTGAATTATTTTCCAAAGCAAGACTCATTGCAGCAGCTAGGCATTTGACAATTAAAAATAAAAAAATAATGAAGTGTTTTAGAAAACCCCTATCCTATAGCCACTATTTAAGATTAATCAATTATTCTCTCTTAGTTTTATGTCCATATTGAATGGTAAAATTGGAATTGTAAGTGACCATTTTTCTGTCCAATTTAGAGAAAGAGTGGAAAATGAAAAGCTCTCTGGTGATTCAGCATTCTTGTATAGTACAGATTTTTACTGTTCTTTTAGAATCTTACTATATTAATTGCTACTTGGACATTGATTTATTCTTCACGATTACAACTCCCTCATGTAGAGCTCCAAATAAGGCTTAAATTCCAACATTATCAGAACACCTGTTTTACACATTTTTGCCTAAGTATTTTTTCTTTGTGTACAGGGTGTTTACATGTTACATCATTGCTGACAGAACATTTTATCCTCTTATTCCCCTCCCCTTTCTGCTCTTAAGGCAAGGACAAATATTTAACTGTATTTCTTTCCTCTCTTGCCTTACTGGTAAGGGTAGCCCAGAGATTTCTGAGCAGTCCTGTAAATGAGATTACTTATGTGAGAAACAATTACTTACACCTGTACATGTTTTGCAGGTTCTACCCCTTAATCTTTTTTAATTAGAGACCATAAAGTCTTAAGCTTGTTTTTGGCTTTATAAAGAGTAGTAATGTTATTTATGACATTGAATCTCTTTATATGGGTATGGTATGGGAAGAAGGAAAAAAAATCCATTATAAGGTCATAACCAATGTGAAAGCAAAATCTTGCCCTACATACCTCTGTGTTGCTGAGCACAGTACACAGAAGGGAAATTTTATTACTTCTCCTAAAACAGATTTCATTAAGCCACACGTAGAAGAAATTATTGCTACAGAAGAGACACCTAATCCAAATGAAATCCTCCCTGTGGAAACAGAAAAGAACATGAAAAGCAACCAGCGAGCAGCAAAGAAGACTGATGGGAAGGCAGCAGTAGCAGAAATGGTTCCTCAGCCCACAGAAAGCTTGGATAGGCAGGGAAAGAAACCACTGGAAAAAAAGCCTTGAGCAAACTCCACTGTTCTTGAATGAAGAATGTGATCTTGTTACGACCTGGATGATAGGTTCAAGCTGAGGTTTCATGGGTGGCAGACGAACCACGATATTTTAACACAGAAGTTTGTTAGTGTTTTTTAATAACATTTGTAATACTTTATAACTTTAAATGCATAGTAGATGGGCACTTCTGTCTCAGTACCAGATTAGTTGCACTGTCACTTCTAAGTATCTTAATAATGTTCCATGTACTGACAAGGTGATTTTAATTACTAAACAATGTCCATGATAAGCAGAGGTTATTAGAGTGAATCCTGTCCAGAACTGATGTATTTACTACTCTGTAAAACAATGTTGGTATCAGTTATGTGGCTCTGTTAGTTTATATTTGTAGGCCATCACAGCTTGAGGCAGATCCTGCTTACTTTCTCAAGGAAACCATATGTACAGTCCTCTTAACGCTATATGGGCTGTAATTTTCACCATGACCAATTTGGCCACAGGGAAGATCTCCAAAAAGAGAACCATCTCCTATAGATGCAGAGAGGCCATAAGTAGGTTTTCTTTTGATCCAAGTTTCTTTCATGCATACCTGTTTCAGGTGGATCAGGGTGACATCTGGCCATTTATCACCACAGACACTCATGTGACTGCTTTTCAGTCCTCTCCATTAATTCTCTCCTGGTCTTGGTGAGATACTATGGATAGAGCATTAACCCATAAAGTATCAGCTGCCCCACATGCTTGTTTCTCTCCACCCTTTTTGCTACAGCTACAGAAAATCATTGTCCTCCTTCCCCTCAGTGACTCAGCCCAACACTATCCCTTCTTCCCCTCAAGAGGATCAGAACCACTGGCTTCCTATAGAAGAGTGTAGCTTCATGGTCCATCTAAGTGAGTAGTAAACATAAGCCAAGAATCTCTGCTTTAAATTATTACTGTGCTCATTCACATTCACTACTATGTTCATTCACATGTTTATGTACTGAGGATATAAGAAAATATGACTTGTTTGTGGATGCTTGGCTACCTTGGAAGAAGCAGAGCTCGAGCTGAAAACCAAACCAATAAAAATAAAGGTCACAATTAATTTTGTTAATAATGCAAACTGAGTTCAGCTTTTACATAACCAAAAATTATTAAATACAAGAACTAAAAATATTTTAATTACTAGGAAAATATTTTTATTGATTTCAACTCTTAGAAGGCTCAATCATATTATATTGGCTTTTTCTTGATGGACTATTGCCAAAAGATAACTAGACTCCACTGATATTTCTAGGTCTATGACAAATGCAGAAATACTGAAAACACAAGAAATACCAGTTTCTAATCCATCCTTTCAGCATGAGAAAACAAAGAATCTTAATAGCATGTAAATGCATAACACCTAAGACACTGATATCTCTGACAGAAGGAAACCCATTTCCTCCCAGTAGAATTCCAACAGTTTTATTCGACTCTTCTTAAAACCAACAGAAATATGCCTGCTGAATTAAATACTAGATAAAGTGCTCACCTGGAGGCAATTAGAGCAGTAACATTTCTGCAAACAAGGTAAAGGATTTAAATGATATGGATGGTCCATTCAGAGTGACAGAAAGATGCAGGATGCAATAGAGAAAAAATTAGGCAAATCAAAATATTGACTGCTACAGAAAAAAGTGGTGAGATAAACTTAAAATACAGAATGAACTACAACTAAAATCATCCTACCAGACTTAGTTACTGTTTGACACATAGAGCTTGATTCAGTTTTATGTTACATTATGTTCTACATTTATGCATTATAATTTAAACTAGTAGAAAACTGGAGTAGCCCAGCAGTGAATGACATAAGCGCAGGTCCCATACAGAAATGCAGTAAGGAGCATTTCCATGGCCGCAGACTTTTAAAATGAGAACCTTCATGCATATGAAGGTTCTCATGCAACTGTGACCAAAAATGATAAATGTCTCCAGATGTGTGATTACATCATTCTGCCAGAGAGTTAACAGTCTGGCCTTTCAAAACTTTATAAAGCTGCAGGTTGTCTCACACAACTCTTAACTGCCCTTTCCCGAGGCAATTACTTCCACCTGCCTCACCTCTCTAACTATCCATCACCTCCCACAGCTCCTTTGGGTTGGAAGCCTATCTATCTGTCTCCCGCAAACATCAGGGGCAGCGTGTGGGTTACATATAGAACAGACGGTACCACCGAGAGCCTGATCCCAGTCCTGCAAAATGCCACAGGGGTCTTTTCATTGGTTTTAACAGAAAGCAAGCGGGATCTCAGAAGAACGTTCTAAAAACGTCCCAGATCTCAGATTACAAAGCCCATTTTGCTCAATGTGAAGCCAACGGCAGATCTCTCTTTTGTGTCACCGTACCAGAATCAGGTCCTAGCTTTTTTTTTTTTCCCCCCAGAAAGAAAAATCAGTATTTTCCTGATATTTCTATTAAAACCTAGTGGAAATACTTTTTAAAAATTAAACTAAAATGCACAGGGGTTTTTTTGTTTTATTTTGTTTTTTTTTAAAATTTGGATGGTTCCTCAAAAAGCTGGAAATGCAGTCACACTAGTATTGTTCTACTGGAAATCATCTGCTATCCAGAAACATAAATGCATGGTAAATGAAATGCACAAATAAACATATAAAAGATTTTTTTTTTCCATTTTATTTAAGCTGTAGTTGTTCACAAATGTATAACAAAATGTTCAAAATTAGTATTATCAGAATTATTGAGTATATTAAAGTTTATTATGTTACCATAGTTGAATCTGGCTTTTTTTCTGGCAATCTGAATGCACAATTTATATTCTATTCTCCACGATAATTATGAAAAATTGTTTCAGTCTCTGTCCATTACATAATGATGGAATGGAAATTATTTCTGAAGCAACAGAATCTCCCCTCAAACACACAGAAACATTTGACTACATTTAAATTCAGTCACTGGCTGCAATGTTTAATCTGCTACAAAGGGTGGTCTTTGAAGATGAAAGAAGACACGAAAAATAGGCTTTGCCTCCCACTGTAGTAAAGGCATTGGGATTCCAGATGTTCTTGAATTTTTCTGAGAATTAGTTCTGGATTTGTTAGCCAATTATTGAGGAAGACCTGTTTGTGGTCTGAGACTGAAAACCATAATTTGATAATATATAGAGCCATAATCTTCGAGGCAGTTAGTTGCAAAGTGAGATCATCCTTAAACCAGCATAGGGTGGACCTCTGCTCTGTATCCTTGAACAGTAACTATAAAGCAAATGCATCAACAATACTCCATTTAAACTGCACTTATACTGACCAGACGTCTGAAAACAAAGCTTTCCACATGAGCTTTCTTGTGTTATTAAAAGGACAGTAAGTTTTAAGAAAGGAGGTAAAATGTTGGCCAGGAAAAAGAGTAACAATAGCTGTAAAGAGAAAAATGTAAAGAGCAGCTGCTCTGTTCCACAAGGGCTTCTGGAGGTGAATGCACTGTGACGGAGACGGTGAGGGGATGAGACCGATGGCAAGGAGAGGAAGGAAGGCACCAGATTTGGCTGCAATCTTCTGCTGACTTCTCCCCTTGTCGCACTTCCCATTTCATTATGCGAGATGTCTTTCCTGTAATCTTTCTCCTTCTGCATTTTCAAATGCAACACCTTTCCTCCCTGCTTTATCCACCTTCTCTTCTACCATCCATCCTATTTCATATGGTCATTTTAATTTACTCTTTCATCACTCACACTAACAGGAGCAGAATAAAACATCCTACTTACTTAGGCTGTGATTTTGGCAAAAATATGGAACCTCTAAACAGGAGGTCTGAAACCCTATCATATCTATTATCAGAAGATGGTTTGTGAAACACCTGCTAATGATTGACAAAGAATGGAGAAATGTTGCTCACCTGAGACTTGATCTGAGTGTGCTGACTTAAGCAAACACCCTGAACCTACAAACAAGCCCATCAACTACAGTGGGACTACTGGTGTGCTTAAATATTTTGGTGGTTCAGGCTATGGCCAGGGTACAGCCCTGAATCCTTGCTTCTAACTTTCCTCATTTTTTTCCAACTGTTAAATGGGATTAAAAAGATAAACTAAATTGTTACATGCTGTCATAATGACATTTTGATCTCAGACAACTTATTGAAATGCTCCTGAGAAGACGTGTGCAAGTCATGACTAAGATGCAGAGATAAGGAGTCCCTCAGGTTTATGGGTAAGATATAAGAGAGTCTAAAAAACAATTTAAAAAACCCCAAAGCTTAAGGCTGGCCTGACTGCTGTAATATGAGCATGGGTGATGGTGGGTATGGAATAAGTGAGTACTCCAAACAATGGTTTCTGGGTGTAGTATGCACACAAAAAAAGCACAATGACATAAATCTCATCACTGATGTCAGCTTTTTTGCCATATGTGGCCAAAGACATTGGTTTTTTAACTGCTGTAACAACAAAGCAAAAGGCCATTTTTTCTTTCATCTATAAATGTCAGCAGCACGTTGTGCACCCAGGGACCAAATACAAGCTGGGTGTTGGCGCTACATCCCAACACCTACAGCTCTCTAGTATCTGCAGAACCACAAATTTTCTGAGACTCCACCGAAGCCGTGCCTACTACTCTATGTCCTCCCAGACCTGTGATTTACCCTGGCACTCTGTAGCCTAAACCTGCTGAAGACCCTTCATTCTTCCCTGTCAAGCCCTAAGCAGGCTACCTCTCTCACACACTTGCTGCTAGACAGGATCTAGGAGCTGAAGAGCCAGAGAGCCACTTATTGGCACTACGTAACACACTTTCAAATTATTTTCCCTCCACTAGAAAATAAATAAACAGATAAACAGACAGATAAATAAATAAACAAACAAATAAATAAATAAATAAGCAGTTGCTCTCATCACACCCTCCCCTGTCTCTAATGGGGCAAATAGTGACGTTTGTGGTGAAAAGGCAAAATGAACCTAGATGAGGTGGCAGGGTTGCTGTGGCCTGGAGGCCCTGGTTTGATGATCAATGACTTATGGTTCAACAAGAAC